TCTAACTTTTAAATTACACATAAAAATTAAATGAATTTTATGAAAAGATTATAAACTAATAATGAAATTTAGTGTATTTTTAACCATATTGAGAGTATTTTGCCTTTTTCTTGGATACACTCTCATATTTCCCTTTGTAGGCTTCAATGTACTATATATATGCAAATTATATCTAATGTCTTAGGTGCATAATACACATTTTAAGAGCGTTGGTGGGTTAGGTGAAACTTGGCTCATAGGATCCGGAAGAATAACCAAATTCAAACCGGTTCAACAACCACAAATTAAATTATTAACAACTCTATGTTTACTCTAAAACCACATTGCCATTGATTTTTCAATGTCCTCACTTTCCTACTTTCGTTAATATAAATAACGTGACAATGTCACACTTTTTTAATCCATTTCTCAATCCACAATTAAAAAACATAAGACAACATTTTTATTTTTCAATGAAGTTTTTTTTTCTTCTCTCTTTTAGTGAGAAAAGGAGATAATGTCAACAAATTTAAATCAAAATTCAAAAGTTAATTTTTTATTAATTCATTAAATACCATGATTCGTCACCCTTAAAATCGTCGAGCTCGAACAAACACTTGAAAAAATAATATAAATACCTCATAATGTGAGATAAAGAAAGAGTTTGACAAAAATTTTTTTAATTTTGATCAATTAAAAAAACGATGCAAAGTATAATATTAAGTGTATGGTTTTTTTTTTTTTTCTAAAACCCACGTGATTGATATTATTGATATTACTATGATACATATAATCTTGTGAAATACCCAAAACCTTTAAATGATATATTAGTTCTAAATATTAAAAAATGAATGATACAAGTGATTGTACACTTATTTAGAAGTGAAAAAAAATGCATAATAATGAGTTAAAAAGTTTAAAATCATTTCAACTTATAAAAAAAAAAAAAAACTTAGATACCCTTACAAATATATAATTTATTTTATGTTTTAGTTATTGCATAATTTTTTTTACTAAATTAATGTTACTTGATTTGTAATATTAAATTCAGTAATATTATAGATACTAAATAGTAGTAATGACTCAAAATGTAATTTGAATTTCATAATTACTAAAAATACAAATATTTAAAGAGAGAGAGAGAGAGAGAGAGAGAGAGGGGTGTTTGTAATGGAAAATTGTCCTGGCTGGATCCTGATTGGTCCCAAGAGATTTAGGATATCCAGGAATTGACTTTGCTGCAATTGGATACTCCTCCTGGATGCTGGATTTGTTGGCCAGCCAATCCCACAAAACTTACGCGGGTTAAGTTCTTTGATGAGAAAATCAAGGCCGTTCGATGGAACTGGACGATCGAATCGCATGGACTGGATTAAGTATGGGAATAAAATTTCGCGCAGAGGATTGTAGCTCCTTTATTACATAATTTCTTGTTTAATGATGTTGTAAATAATTGCGTGTTTGGTTTGGTCATCGCCGTCAACGGTCTTACCGACAGCTTTTATATCCACTGTTTGCTTTTTGCAGTGTTAGAATTGGATTTTTCCGTTTTCCTTCTTTTTATTTTTCTCCCTTTTTCTTTTTTATATTTTTTCACCGGCCATTTTTAGGCAAACTAGCAAAATGATGCGAGCACTCACTCGTTTAGGGAAAAAAAAGGGGGAAGATATATAAATTTTCCTGTCCCAACTTAGTATCTAGCCCGTGTGCTCCTGAACTAAAAAGTGGCAAAATAAATTTTATTCAAATTTCAATTTTAATATTTATTTTGGCTTAATTATTACATCATTTACATGTATTTTACAAGCATTTTAAAAGTTTTTCAACGATTGGGTGCGCCATTAAATAACTTTGTTAAATTGTACCTAAGTCTAATTATTATTATGATATTGATTGTTTTTACATAAATTGATTTTATAATTTTCATAGAGTAAATACACTATAATGAAAATTTTTGCAACAACTCTAACCTTCATATTGAAAATGTTTTATTATAATTTTTGTATTTATTTTATTATCGCTTTATATAAAATAATTAAGATTTTAATTACAACAAACTTTATTTTAATAAAAGATTCTCAAAGAGAATGATTAAGAGGTTTGGAACTTAATTGAAATAGTAGGGTTCGAATGAAATTTCGTTAAAAGACATGAACAACCAAAAAGAAAAAAAAAATTATATTTAAAAAAAAAAAGGGAGGCAGTCCTCTCTTTTAAATTTGTTAATAAAACTCAAATTCTCGTAGCGGAGAACAGCTTGCAAACTTAAAATTACTCTCATTTGCAAGTGTTACTGTAGTTATTCGATTAAAATAAAGTGATGATAAAGACGAACATAAGTTATTGGTATATAAAATAATAGATAAGTAGAATAATAATTATTTTATATTATATTTAATTTATATTTAAAAAAATTAATTATTTTGTTGATATAAGATAATTCAATTATTTTAAAATGAAGATAATTATTTTTAATTTATGATATTAAACTTACATATTTTATTTTATTTTTAAAATTTTCATTAATAAATTAAATTATATAAATTAAAAAAAAATAATTTTGATCAATAAATTAATTATCCTATATTAATTTTTACACACATCAAATATAATATAAAATAATATTATTTTATTTTATTTTATTTATAATATTATTTTATTTTATCATATTTTCTCTTCTTTGGCATGCAATAATATGTAAAATTCCATTTGAACCAAAATGTAAAAGAAATTTAAATTCGAAGATTTGAGTAAATTGATTTATACTATTATTTTAAAAATAATATTTAATAATTTTAATTTAAACATTTACAATTTATTTATTGTCAAATAACGACCTTTTAATTATAAAAATAAAAAATTGGTGGGAGATATTTTTATTCAATATATAAAAAAGAATATCATAACTTTTAATTAAAAAATGTTCGATGTTTTAGTTTTTAATTAATATATTATCGATGTACGAGAGTAGGGGCTTAAGTGCCTTTTCACCATTCTTGCTGTTGAAAATATCAAATTGAGGTCCCCACTAAAATGAAAAAAAAAACTTCATGGAAATTACGAACATAACGATTCAAATTGAAAATTCATATTCCAATTATGCTTTGAAGCGTAAGTTAGGGATTTCAATTTTTTTTAGTTTTAAAAAATGAGGTACTTTATAAAATAAACAAAAAAAAAACATTATTTTATGTCACTATTTGTTGCTTCAACAGCAAAGCACCAGTTTCACTGCATTTTTAACCCAATTTTAAAGGTTTAAAGTTTTATCTTTTAAATTTTTTTTTGACGAGTGATGAAATTAATTTTTGTTAGATTAAAAAAAATTATTATTATTATAATTGTGATTAAATTTTTTAATTAAAATATTTATATTAAAATTTTTTATCAAAATTGATATTTATATGATAATATAATAAATTCAATTATATCATACAAAAAATATGATAAAATCCATGCTAGACTAAATTCCCCTAATTTTAAACAATAGCTAAAGAAGGGATTGATATCATAATTTACTAAACTATACTTCAACTTGTTGCTGTAGCCTCACGAGTTATTTTTAGGTCTACTATTTTAGAAGGAATTAAAAAAATTTAAAATATCCCCAAATATTTGATTGGATACATAATTTTTTTGGTCAAAAAGTATAGTTTGAATCCCTTTCTTCCAAAAAACAAAAAGAGATTTTTAGAGCCTATAATTACCTTGCAAATGACTTTGATTTTAAATTTTGAATTAGATGAAAGTTTAAGATTATATTTTTTAATTTTATAAGTGAGGTTAAAAAATTATTATAATTTTTTATTTTTAATATATTTTAATAAATATGTAAATCTAATAATTGTATATTCATTAATATAAAATATTAAAATTTATATATTTATATAATATTTTATACAAAAATTATTTATTATAATTTATATCTATATGAAAATATAAAATATATATTTTTATCTTATTAAACTCATATATAATTATTATTCAAATTTAAAACCACTTTAAGTCTTTTTTTTTCATATCATTTTATGAAATTTAAATATGTGTAACATTATTATTTTATTTGTGGGATTTAAAATGTTCAATGATGATAGATGAGATACTTTTTTAATATTTAATATTGAAAAAAAGTGAAGGTGTTATTACCAAATTCATGAAATTTGAAAAGTCTTATGTGGGCTTAATTTTATATGATGAATTAGAAGTTTATGTAAAACTTCTAAATGATATCATAATGTTGCCCACTTATATTAAAATAAAAGTATTATTATATTAATTCAAAACCTTTTTTTTTTTTTTCTCATTCTACTTTTGTAAGCATTTGAATTATTCTTTAGGTGAATTGTCAAAAAAGAGAACAAGAACATTGTGCCCACTTTCCTTTTTCAAATTTTAGTATAAGCAACCCTAAATGCCACATGTTAAAATTTTTTAATATTATTCTTAAGTGCAAAACCAAGCAAATTGATTAAAAAAAACAAAGTAATTTTCTATTGCTATAGGGGCAATGTAGGGTTAAAATGAATAAAAGGCATCTAATAAAATAGCTTCTTGTTGCACCATTTTTTTTTCAAAATTACTTTAAATGAAATTATTTAAAAATTTTTAAATTTATAAATCTAGAAATTTGTAAAATTCGAAAACTTTTACAAGTCTTTTAAAATTTTTTATCTTAGTTCGTTGGAATCAATAAAAATTTTTAAAAACTCACATACATAATTTTTTTTCTATCAAATTGCAAATGAATTTGTAATTATTTAAAACAAATTGCACTTTTTCTTTATAATTTTTTTAAAATTCTTCATTTTATGAATTTTTTTAACTGAATTTTATTTTTTAAACCTTAAATGTAATTTTTTTTTATTTATCATATATGAAAATTCAATAAATTATAAAATTTATTAAACATACGTATCCAAAATCTTTTATAATTGAGAGAAAAAATAATTAAATAATTTTACTTTAAAATATTTTTAAAAAATAATTTTGAAAAAAAAATAATTGTGCAGAGTAAAAACATGATACAAATAGAAGCACCATTCTAGTAATTGACCTTGTTTTCAGATGTGGAGTCCAGACAAGAAAAAGACCTTAGTTTCCCACCTCCATTAATGGAGGGAAGTTTATAAAATCTCTAAATTTCTCTCTCTCTCTTTCTTCCAAGTTAAAAGAAAAGAAAAAGCTACACCATCTTCAATTTCTGGCGCCATTTGAAGGAAACCTGTCTTTGTTTCAAACTTCACCTTCTTTTCTTCTCTCCCGCTTCTAATTAAACACAAAAAAGCTTCCCCAACAAAGCATACTTATACCCAACTTTTTGGTCTTCTTGAGAAGAACTCCATTTTTGGGTTTCCATTTTCAAAATGGAAGAAAAGGATAGCACGATATCTGGGTCATTAGGCAACTCCGACACTGACTCACCATCTGCACCAGTGAGTAGCCTGGTGTTGCCTCAGGTCATGAACATGGACATGAATATGAACATCACCATGAGCTTGGAAAGAAACCTTGATACTGCAGCAACAGCTGAGGGGGTAGGAGCGGCTGGAGCAATAATAAGTGCAGCAACAGCAATTCCAGGACCAGGTGGAGGAATAGTAGGGAGTCCTGGAAGTGGAACTGGGCTTGATTCTTTAGGAAAGAAAAAGAGAGGGAGACCAAGAAAATATGATGCAGATGGCAAGCTCAGGTATCCGTATCCAGCAATGACAACTTCGCCTACTGGCTTCACTTTATCTCCTTCTTCTCCTACTGAGTTCTCCTCTTCTAAGAGAGGTAGAGGCAGGCCTCCTGGTTCAGGCAACTGGCAGATTCTTGCTTCTCTAGGTAATTAAAGTTCAAGAAAGTTTAAGTTTTTGTTTCTGTTTGGTTTGATACAGAACTCTGTTTGGTTCCCAAGAAAGTCCAGAAAGTTAGAAAAGAAAAGTAAAATCTTGTGATTGGTTGCATGTCTTTTGTTATATTGTCTTTTTCCTTTTATGATAGTTCTGAGTTCTCGACTTGCATACCAAGGAAAACAAAAAATAAAAAATAGAAAAATGTAATCTCTAATGTGAACCAGAGATATAGCCTTAAAGACTTATCCCTTTTTAGCATATTTTGTTTCTCTATTGCTCACCGAACACATTGTGGGTAGTTGATTCATGCTTTCTTAGGGAATTGGAAGATTAAGTTAATAAATGGTGGGTTTTTCACATTAATTTCAACTTTGACAAAAGGAAAATAGCAAAATAGCAAATTTGTAGTGACTTGGTTTTTTGCTTCTCATTTTTCTCCATTTGCTAGAAATTAATAAATTTGAAGTTCAATTAGATCTGATTATTTTTAAAATGTGACATTTTAATAATTTTAAAATTAAAATTTTAATACCTATTATTTATTTTCTCTATTCGCAGACTATGACTTAAAAAAAAAATTTAATTTATGATAGACATCATTCTAAGTTGGTGAATTTTGGGTTCAGAAATTGGCTTTTATTTTTATGAATCAATCAATTCTTATTGCTTTGGACATCAATTACAAAATCTATATATAAATCTTAAATCTGCACAGGTGAGTTGTTTGCTAACACGGCTGGAGGGGACTTCACGCCACATGTGGTCACCGTTAATACTGGGGAGGTAATGTTGCCAAGAGCCAAAAAAATGATGAGAATTCTAATTGAGAGTAATTTGTACGGATTTCAGATCCTGTATTGAGTTCTTTAATTTGCATGATTGGGGACATTGCCTTTTGATTGCAGGATGTTGCAGGAAAAATTCTTTCATTTTCGCAGAAGGGTCCTCGTGGGATTTGTATTCTGTCAGCTAATGGAGCTGTTTCTAATGTTAGTATTCGGCAACCTGGTTCATCTGGCGGGATTTTAACATACGAGGCATGATTTCTAACCTTCTGCTGCTAATATTGTTGTCCCCTACTGTTTCAACATTGATATTTATGACCAAATTTGAAATTGCTTTGCAGGGTCGCTTTGAGATATTGTCCTTAACTGGTTCGTTTACAGTCATTGACACTGGTGGTGTAAAAAGTAGAACTGGTGGGTTGAGTGTTTCATTAGCTGGGCCAGATGGTCGTGTGCTAGGTGGTGGGCTTGCTGGTATATTAGTGGCTGCTAGTCCTGTACAAGTAAGTGCTTTTGCTCCTCTGATAGTATATTCACAAGCACCATTTTTGCTATATAAAACAATCTCTTGAATCTATTATCTCTAGTTTTGTGCCTGGAGTTTTATGCATTTGTTCTAAACCAATGTATGAATCAAGTGATATAGTTCAATATTCTTATGCTAGATTGTGGTAGGAAGCTTCATGCCAAATGGATACAAATTGCATAAAAGGAAGCACTATCGTGATCAGCAGACGGTGGCATCCACAGTCGCTGCTTCTGCTGCTGCTCCTTCAGCCATAGTGACAGCAGCAAGGCCAATCTCACAAGCAAAACCTGATGGTGAGAACTGTATGACACCAACGTTCCCCTTTCCAGGGGAAAGCCTTGGGGAAGCAGATAATAACACAATTGACAAACGTATACCGAATGCTGCAGCCTCGCTTGTAGCTGGTTGGAAGGGCTCCTCAGAACCTACATCAATCCATTGGCCATCCCCTGATATTAACGTGTCTGTGACTAGTGAATAGGTGTCCAAGGTATGTATTTGTCCTCTGCAACAAACATTTTATGTACCAATTTCAGAAGTTCTATTTATAACCCCCATAAAATTTTTCATTTCAGGTTACTGTCGGAGGCTGACGTGATAAACTCATTGAAACTAATTTTATTCACTTTATCATTTGTAACAATTAGATCTAGTGAGAATTTTCTACCTTTATGTCTGATGTCTGATAGGCAGATTGAACTTTTCTTATGTATTTTGCTGGAGGTCAGAGAGCTAGGTTGTCAAAGCATGTTTATTTACAGAAGGGTTGATACCAAACTAAATTTAGACAGATCAATTATTTTATGTTGGTAACATTTTTCCTGTTGTTCACTGTTACATTTTTATTTTGTAAAAGGGAGATCTCCTCCACTACTCGGTGTGAAGAGTTCATTTTTTATTATAGAATCTTTCAAGATAGATTCTGACACTCAACTAAGCCAAATTAGACAGATTCATTATATTAAGTTGGTAGGCACTTTTTCTTCATTCACTGCATTAAACATATGCATTTTCAGCAGATTGAACGAATCATGTTCATTGTGTATTATAGTTAATTCAAACATAGGTGAAGAAACATCAGCTTCACCACTATAACTGCACAAGATTGGCACAAGAAACAGTAAGCTATTGCATTGTATAGCCAAATACTAGATTTTTCACATACAATTAGATAATGAAACTTGACTTAATGTGTTGTCTGCAACAGTTATTATTCATATCTCCATGCACGTCCAAAATTTAATCTCTTCATTTCATCTTCTATGATTGACGATTATCTTGGAATAGTAATACCAATCTGAGTGCATGGGAGTTATAGCAGGCTGCCCAAAAGGGTGTGCCTTAACATATAAAGGGACATCATCAGCAGCTGCCAGACCATCCAAGTAGAGACTCTGGTCGCCATTTGGACCTCAACAGATTTAATTATATATTTCAGTATTCCATTAATTCATTGGAACTATTCCAAGTCTTAACCGGAAAATCTATTCCAAGACTCACCTAAAGAATTATCGTTGACATTGTAGGCCTTGTATTCTGTAGGTGAGGTGTGTGGCTGCAAGAAATTAAGCATAAAGAATAACCTTTGAAGTTAATGAAATCGTACTTGAAAAGTTTGCAAATGGTAATTGTGTTTTTTACAGGATTTAACAGGGCTTTGTCAGACTGATCATCAATTAGCAATGTGTTTGACGGAGAATATTCATCCTGTGTTGCACAAAGGTAGACCAATTTCTATCCCTCAATTTGCTCAATTCCCTAAAAAATATGGGCTTTCCTTTCTTCTCCAAGTAACTGAATCCAGAATTAGTACATTCATTTTGATCCTGATCAGGTAAAAAAGAGAAAAGCATTTTCATTTCTTGTGAATTCACACTCCTTTTTTTAAAAAAGAACTTTCATGCTAGCAAACAAAATCTTGCTTCTCAATCCACCTGTTAAACAGTCCAGGGCGCTGTTGAAGTACCATCTTCACATTTAACATAAGAAAACACGAGCAGATCCAAGCATTCATTAATAATCAGATGAAATTGCAGGGAAAGAAAAAACAGAAGTAAAATGGCTTCAATAATTAAACTCAACTCTCTTGCGGATGACAATATTCCCACTTCAAATCTTTCAAGACAAAATTTCATTAACTCTTCACAATAAGGCTTCTTGTACACTGAATGAGGGAAAAAATACGAAAGGAAGGACAGCCACATGTAATTAAGTGCTAACAATCAATTACTAATAACAGCAATTATGCGAAAAAAGGGGAAAAAATAGAAGAAGAAAGTCCAAAGTCCTTACCAATGTAGCTTCCATAAGCAGCATCAGGAAGACGATGTTATACTGGAACTTCAGTTTTGTTTTTCTTGCAGATTCTATGGCATAGCAACCCTCCAACGCCAAGAACAAGAAGTTTCTTTCTCCCCTTGGTAGGAACAGAGCAATTCCGATCTCTATCATCTTGCAAACCTCCATAACAGAGTTTCTGTTTGGAGAAGTTACTCGACCCAGCCATTTTGTTGTCTTCAAACGGTATGCAGGCTTTTCCCCAGGTTTGTTTGCTTATTTATCTACATGAAAATCCACAACTTTCCAACTTCTGCCATTAATCATCATGAATCTAACTGTTGTCTTTCCCAGTTCCATGCATGAAGGAATAAACGCCTTAACTGGCAACAGTTCCATTACTTAGTGTGTTTTCATCTGCAGTCTTTTCCAGTCTTTCTGAGGCATATGCTCTTCTGATTATAAACCCATTTTAATTTCTGATCAAGTAATAATTATTATCTAGACAACCTATTAAAATGATCCCTTCTCCCAAAATTTAGAAGAAGGTAAGCATTGAAATTAAAAATGATTTGAGGGTCAATTTTTTTAAAAAATGTAATTTTTTGTTATGGGAGATGGACTGAAAGTGAAATAGATTGGAAGTGAAATGAGTGAAAATATTATGAGAGATGGGTTAGAAGTGAAATCAAATCAAATAGTTTGATTTGTGCTAAAAGTTTTCATCATATTTTAGACAAAAAAAAATCTAATTTTCTAACTTTTAATTTAAACATCTTTGATTGTCTTAAAAAATAAATAAATAAAAATTTATATTATAATAACTAATAAATTTAAATGCAATAATAATGGATTTGAAAATAATAAATGTATATATATTTTTAACTTGAGAACTATGTTTAAGTAATTATAAAAAATTTAAAATAAATGAAAATCATATATACATATTATTAAACATAGATCATATTTTTATTTTATATAAAATTATTATGATTTCAAGTAATTAAAAAAATTAAATATTTTACTATTTGATTATTATTTTATTTGAGAATGTGGGAATTTAATTTTTATATAATTATTAAAATATTTAAAATTTTATATTTGGGAGAATTTTCTAGTTAGTATTAAATTACTATCACTAGATAAATGTCCCAAGAATTAAACATCCATCAGCATCCGATCCCAATCACGGCAATAGATCCACTCGACTCTTGATCTTGATCATTCTCAAACATTTAAACTTCCTGTACACGTGGCAAAAACCCAAGATAACAACGTCGCATGCAGAAACTTCCAGACCCGCCACTGCAAATTCCTTTCTAGCACTTTCCAGTATCTGCAGTCTAAACTCGGACAATATCCACTTTCTAGTATCTACTTTCACTTGCTTTATATAAAACCTGAGCTCTTTACCAAACTCTTAATCAAACAGAAAAAAAAAGAAAAATTGGGACAGGACAAGAAGTGAAGTTAAAAATGAAACCAATCGACGGAAAAAATGAAGACAAGAAAGCCCCCGTGGTGATCCGAGCTGTTAACCGCGACGAAGAGGGTCGAAAGAAAATTGAAAGGACAGAAGTGCCATCTCGAAACATAGACACCATCAAGTACGTAGAGCGGAAGTTGGAGGACAAAGGGGTGCAACGGATGGAGCGACACCCGGCTAATGGGATTGGGATTGGCCGACCGCCTCCGAAGTCCGGTCATGGAGGGAAGTACACTTGGGAAGGACCTAATGACTTGGCGGGGAACGAGCTGATGCCGGTGCCTCCCGCTGTTGATAAGAAGGATCCTAACTACGTGGATGAGGAGGAAGAAGAGAGGATTTTGAGCGGTGAAAACAGCGACGTTGCTGGGTTTGTGGTTGGTGAATTGGAGGTGGCTAAGGCTGCTGAAGATCGAGAAGGGGTGGCTAGAGTTGAGGTTGATTCTCGCTTGAAGGCTAACTAATTGATATGATGCTTTTTTATATGAACCTGTTTGTCGTTTGATTGCTAGCTTTTTCTTTGGCTCTTTCTTCTTTGGGAACAAGAATGTGTACGACTAGTGAACATGATGCTAGGAAGCAACTCTTACGAGTTCCCTGGATTGTAACAAAGAATAATATACAAGTAAATTTAACTTAACCCTTGTGTTAATTTGAAGCCCTTCTTATTGCGGAACTATTAAAAGTGTTTATAACAATTTTACTACGAATATAATACGAAATTGATACTGAAAATGAAATTATTTAAAATTAATATAAATCAAATGAGTTTGAAAAAAAAATGTATTTTGTTTTTAGTTTATTTATACAAATTATGATCATTTTTTTATTTTTGTATTTTATGTGTATTCCAAACAGATAAACTCTATATCTTTTATCCTTCAAGCAATCATGAACCTAAGACCTCAACTCAGAACCACCACCTTTTTCCACTTCCGGCAAGCAGCGAACCACACGCGGTCTCCTACGAATTTCGTGATACTCATCTCCTTTGTGAAGAGACCATCGAGATTGAGGCAAACTTCTTTTTTTCTTGCTCATCACCTTTGTAAGAGCTGTTGGAGACGACATCGTAAATGGGGTCATTTGATTGAAAGTTATATGGGTTTTGATGGGTGGTTGACATTGAATTGGCAAGTTTCTTGCTAAGGTGTCAAATCCATTGAAGGTTAGATGGGTGTGGCAAACCAGGAACAAAAGGATAACAGTGAAGAACAAGTTCTAGGCGCTGCCACGAGGCACCCAAAACCAAAACAATCTACTTTACTTTCCTTTTCTTTGGATTAATTTCAGATTTTTAGTTAAAAGAGGCTTAATTTTGCTTTCATCTTTTGTGGGCTCAGCTTCTGTGGCCTGACTTGACCCTAACGGCCCAATCCAAGAATACCAGTTACCTCATTTTGATCAGATCCGGCTAGCTGAGTTTTGTAATAGACCCTTGTTCCTATTTTTGACTTTGAATTCCCTAATTAATTCAGATTTTTTTTTGGGGCTTATCTTGCAGTTGGATGGTATCTCAATTTTCTTAATGAACAAACTAAACAGAGGCAGCCGTTGCGTCTTAAAGTTTGCCTGTTTTGGGTGTGTCGGCTGAAAGCTGTTAAGAAAGCAAAATTTGATCGAACACTTGGATTACGTTCTCTGTTTTCATAACCGCAACTGATCTGATATGACAATCCATTTCCGAAAATGGGGTAGAAGCAGTGAGACAGTGGACAAACTAAACTCAATTCACTGAAATTGCTCATCATCCATTTTTTCATTTGGAAAATCAAAAAACACAATTTCAAACTCTCAAGTCTCATCAAACCATGTAGTATTTCATGATCTCAACTAAGATACATAACTGAAACCAAGCCTAGTTGAAATGGAAACTACTCAAATTTCCTTGACGTTTCAATCAGGTCGCTCAGATTGTACATTGCTAAGCAATATTTTACCAGATTCTTAGCTTTTCTAACACCAGATTGGGAGATTTGGACAGATTAATAGGAGTAGTGCTTGAATTGCAAGGACTGGTTGGCTGTCATATCGACCAAACATGTGTTCCAATTGTTGTTGATGTTTTCAAAGCAGCTACATAGTCATACACTAGGCTAAAGGCTTATTAGTAAAGAGCAAGAAAAAGGATACTCGTACATGGGTGGATGACAGCACTGGACTGGATGCCATAGAATCAAACCTTTGTTTGGTTACAATGATAACTTTTTATTTCAGTTTTTTTTCTTCACCAGCTAAAAAGGATGTCTCAACTTTTTGTATGTCACTATCTTAATTTTGTGTTATTATGTTCTTATGCGGTTTGTATTTAGTGTAAAGTACCTTTCTGAGGAGGCAAAACGTGGTTCATGCAATTTGATTAAATTACCATCAAGCTAATAACCAATAATTTTCATTTAATTCCAATCAAATGAGTCTTTTAGTTTCCCTGATCATTTAGGTTAATCATTCCAGTTCAATTCCTTTATTGGGTACGTTGAAAGCAGTGACAGATTTATACTTGAAAGGAGCTTTGTGAGGTTTATTTTAATTTTTTAGGAAGAAGAAATTGTAGATACTATGATATGAATATCTGATTTGATGAATATCATTTTTTAAAAATGACTGAATGAATCAATTGAATCATATTTTGGGATCAGGTTTAGTTTAGCTTTAAGCTTGGCATAAATTTGCATTAATTTTTTTCACTTCTTGAACCAGCTAGTGGAATTTTCTTTTCTTGTTTGAGAGAAAATTAAGTAATTATGTTCAGATCAGCCCGAAGTAATGATGAACAGGGAAACCAGAAACTCATTATGATTTAACTATAAGAGGAAACAGCAAGGGGAAGTTAGCCAGCAGTTTTGCACGTTCATGAACATTGAAGTTGGACCCATATCTCTCTTTCTCTCTCACCCACACATTAAAATGATCATCCAGGTAATTCCATCTGTCATTTGGAGCTTCTCTGGCTTTGTTGAAAGATTAGAGAAATGATTAAACGTCAAAGTAACAGAAAGATTTCATTCTCAATAAACAACGTTTGATCACGCATAATCACAATGTTCATCAGCCAAGGAAGATGATTTTTTAACCATATATGGAGTTATTGGTAACTTACAACCTTTTCTTCTCCAGGAATATGATCTGTAATGTACCGTAGATGTATGACACATCTACATAAAATCGTGAAGCTAAGGACAAAATCTAAATTCTATGACTTGGAAGAAGTATTTAAAGCATCTTGGGTTTGCTGGCACTTGTGGGAAACACAAGGCCTTTGCTTGAGTTGAACCCGCTTTGAATATCTATGTAATTGGAGACTCAAATGAACAGAAAAACCAAATAACTAAAAATAGACTTTCAAAAACTAATTTAGCTTATAACTTTCCGAAAAAATACTTGTTTTTGAAAGAAATAAACATGAAAAATTCAATGTTATTATTATTTTTTTGAAAAACTTGAATGTTTTTAATGATATTAGTTTTTTTTTTTTCACAAAAAAGACCATAATCTAAAGATTAAAAAAAAATCGTAATTGCTAAAATTTAAATTTAAACCTATTAAACAATATTTTTAAAAGAAATTGTATAAACTAACTAAATTAACTTTGGATTCAATGATATTAGCTTTTTTCTTTTAACTTTTGCACCTTAGAACAGATAAACACATCATATGAGGATATGTCCATTTCCAAACATAGAGATCCTTAGGCAATTAATCTAAAATTCTTCTTGCAATAGTTTTATTTATTTATTTATTTTTTAATTATATTAAGAGGATAAAATCTTAGTACAAGTAAGGGAGAGAAGAGAAATCTGACTCAAAACTAGACCCTTGATGTCCCTTCAAACACTTTTAACCACTAAACGTTTGCAGTAATTTTATTTTATTTTTTATAAAATGAGATCTTTCTACGCTCTAAAAATGGTGTGACAATACTAGTCATCATCCATATTAAAGGGGCCTTAATATTAGTTGAGGTGCATGCAAAAATATTTACCACAAAATCAAATTATACTCTATTTTCATTTAATGTGGACAAAAAGGAGGAATTAAATTTGCAAAAAGGTGTGGTATCTAGTTCAAACATATAAGGCACATATTGCCATCAGTTCCATGAATTAAAGGCACATGCACCTTGCAGCCCACCTTCCACCTTTCCCCAATAACACTTATTTGCCAAACAACAGAACTTGTTTGGTTTTTTCTTTCACTTTCTTCCATTTTAATGTTTTTAATTAAAATTTTATATTGAAAGAGAAATACCCATAAAAATATTATTAATTATAGTGAGATATGGAGAAGGGCAAAATCATTGTGGACACACAACACACAATCTTTGACAACAAAGAAATGTGGAGAATTTGTGCCATTAAAAAGAAAAAGAAAAGGAAATAGAATCACCATTGTGCCATTCTTTTGTATTAATGTACTCCAAAATAATGGAATACATTCTTTATTTTTTGCTTTTGTTGAATTAATTACACAATGAAATAAACAATTAAAAAAGAGAAAATTTTAATAGAAACTATTACTCCCTCTATGTCATTTTCTTTGTTCATCTTTTTTTTTTGGAATATCTTAAAATTATGTCCTATTTTTTTTTTAATATCTAAAACTCTTATTTTTTATATTTTAAATTTATTTTTACTTTTTAACAATAAAAATCATGAAACTTTAATTTTATAAAAAAATTAAAAATTAATATTAAATATATTAAAATCAATTTTTTTCTTAAACTGCGTGAAAATCAATGCATGACAAATATTTTGAGACAGAGGAAGTATTATTTTTCTGGTGTCATTGAAGTATTAAAGTTATTGTCCAATTCATTTTTAGGAAATCCATTTTTAATAACATAATGGATATTTCAAAGGAAAAAATAATAGTCATAATCTGAGCATGGACAATATATAGTCACATTAATCTATGGTTAAAGATTCCAAATTTTGAACATTATTAAATAATGAGATATAAATAATTATCCTGTTGATATTTTTTTTATTGGTAATTTAATCCAGACCACTACTAAGAGTAGGTGATGATTAAGAAAGATTATTGGATCCTTACTGAAGATAAATATGCAAATTAATTACCTTGGTTTTATTAAATACATCACTTTAAGCACTATTCATTTATTACATTTATTACATATGTGAATAGAGGGGCTATAAGTCAAAGTTAAAAAAAAAATAAAACAAGCATAAATTTCATAATAAATACTGATTAAGGAAATATTTAAAGAAAAATATTAATTAACATATTGTTTCCTCTTGAATTTAATGAAGACAATGTATTAAAAAATTTTTGTTAAATAATAGTTTAATTATACTTAATTAGTACTCATAAGTATTCGGATTTTTTTTCACATTAACTCTATTATTTTCTATTAAGTTGCATTTATTCGTTTTTAAGTTTTTTCATATATACGAAGGATTAACTTGTCATATCATGTTTATTTGGATACGTACCAAAATTTTAAAAAATAAAATTTAATTATCAATAATAAAATAAATATTTAAGAATTCAATTAAGTTATGTAATTATCAATAATAAAACTTAATCATCAATATCAATTAATAAAAATAAATATTTAAAATTTTAATTGATTATAATAAAATAATAAAAATTTCAATGATTATTAAATTTTTGTTCAAAAACATTTTTTATCCTTTAACTTTCTTTAACAAAAAAAAAAAAAAAATTGGCAATGATTTGTGAAATTAGAACATATGTTTCAGAACTAAAAATTAATTCATGGAT